GCAGACAAGATAAGAATTATTTGATATAGTTTTATGAAGGGTAGACTGTATTGAAGGTCTATGAATTGGAAGATCTTTAGATATATTCAATATATTCGATAGTAAAAATCAATTTGATATAAAATTGAATACTTTAAACTAATTTTTAAAAGTATTTTCTTCATAGTATTTGCCGTACATATAAAATTGATGGATATTATAAGCGATAGAAGAAACTGAAGACAAGAAAATGTTGTATTTATTAGAATATGATTAAGGGACTCACGTGTTCAAAGACACAAACCACGAATCAAGTACTTCAGTTATATAAGGCTATTATCAACCATGGAACCATTCGTAAATAAACTAAGAATTTTTTTCAATTTAAAATTAACAAATCTGTCTAATTAAACAAATGTGATGCAATTCATGTTTTGCTGAAATGCCAGCTATTATTTTTAGATTAAGGGCGCTCTAACTAACGGACACTGCCTACACACGCACACACAGACAACCACCTCAACAAATAAATGTACAATATTTCTTTACAGTTGACTTGGCAGCTAAATTTCCAACGATTTCTGCTTAGCTTGCTCATTAGTCGAGAAATCTCATTAGAAACTAATGAAGGTGTGTTGGCAATAACAACATACACACACACACATACACACTCTCTCGCACAGCTAGTTATACTGGACATCATTTAGTATTCGACTTTGGCTCATTATGTTAAATTTTTCTACATATTTTTCGTTCGCATTTCTGCTATATTCACATCTCGCTGGTGATTGGAGAAATGTCGAACAAGAGTGAAAAATTAATTTGGCCAGCCAGAAAGAGAGAGAGAGAACAAATGTGAATGCGAATGCGGCTATTTCCATCCCGTTCAGACACTAAATTTTTTCTATCAAATATTATTTGTACAATAAACTAAAATGAGTGACTGTATGTGTGTGTGTGCATGAGTTTACATGTATCTGTGTGTGTGTTTGTTCCATCCCCCAAGCGTATGTACGTATGTGTTGCTGTGTGGCATGATAAAATAAAAATACGAAAAATGTGGAAAAAATACAAGAAAAATTAATAATGAAACACACACACACACACGCTTAGAGACAAGGACAAGCATGTAGACTATATATAAATATGTATGCGTGTGTGTGTGTGTGTGGGTCTGCCATATATACACAAGCCGTTTGCTTGTATGTGTGTGTGTGTTTGCTGGTTATTTTGGGCAAGGGCGGCGCAAATAATAATCATTTTTATAATAATGCAAGTGTATCTCAGCCAAGTTTTGGTCTTATGCGTGTGTGTGTGTGTGGGGGTGGGGGGAGCTGGTGATGGCGGTGATGGTGGTGGTGGCAGTGGTGGGGTTGGGCGAGCAGCGATCGTCATCGGCATCGTTATCTGCCGCACAAACAGCCAACCCCTAAAAGTATGCAGCAAATAATTTCGAGCGCACAAGTGAAATCTATCGCACAAATTTTGCACAAACTATGCGAAAAAGTAAGCGCTGGCAACAACAAAAATTCCATAAATTTTTGCTGATATGCTTTCCCACTCATTTTCACACATAAACACACACGCACAGCTACAAGCATATGTAGAGGGGAAGTTTGCAATTTTATCACACACACACAAATATACATATAGAGACACCCCCAACCTCCTCATGCAGCGACTTTATGAAACCATCAAATTATTTTCTTTTCCATTTCTGACACTCAAAAGAAACGCAAAGAAAGCAGCAACAGCAACAGCAACAGCAACAACAACAGCAGCAGCCGCTACAGCTGAGGCAGCAGCAGCAGCAGCAGCAGGAGAAGCAGCAGCAGTAGGTGAACAAAAAGGGAATTACATGGCTACGGCGCAAAAGTAGTTGGGCCAAAGGAGGCAAAAATATTATTTTCCAGTTACGCTCGTCTCCGTCCACGTCGTCATGGCACATCCTTTACATTACTTTTCTTTCTTCTTCTTCTTCTTCTTCTTGCTTTTCTGGCTGTGCTGCTGGCTCAAAGTTTGTGGCCCCCCCAATCGCTCTCGCTCTCCATCTCCCTCTCTCTTTCTCTGCCCACATGCCTTGCGGGTTACTTTTTCCATCTCTGTTCGTTTCTTTGTGTGTGTGTGTGTTTAAGAGTGTCTTTGTGTTTGTGTGTGTGCAGCTACTTCGTCTTATTCGAGTACGAAATTTTTATGAGAAAATGCCTGCCAGCTCAACTGCTGCTGCTTGAAGTATCTGTATGTGTGTGTGTGTGTGTCTGTTTACTTGAATACCCAGTGGGAAACAGTTGCATGAAAAGGCAGTACTCAATGCATGCTTTCGCTTAGCTCTTCAGTAGTTCATAGAGTAAATTAGTGAGTATTTTTAAGAAGCTTATTTAGTTAATATTTTTAATGTAAAATTCTTGCAGAAATACATGCTAAAAGCACTGCTTAAAAAGCACTTCATTTAAAAAGTTAATTAATCATTAGAGTATTACTTTCATAGCTGCTTCTATAGCTAACTGATTCCACATAGATTCTTCCTCTAGGTATCTAAATAGGTATCTATGTATCTAAGTATCCTTTCAAAAAATCCATTGGTTGACACTAGTCCTTCGGTCCCACTGGGCAACTGGTAATCGTCTCTGTATGTCTGTGTGTGTGTGTGAGTGTGTGGGCCGAGTTATAAGCCTCAACTGTGCTGTATATCAAAATATTTAAAAGCAAATATAATATTGGTGGGCTAAAAGGCACTGGGGAAATGGAGAGAAATGGGCAGGCCATAATAGAAAAACACTTAAGCAGCCCGCCCAATGGTCGAAACGGCTGGCTGGGTCGGGCGATTGTGCGACTGGCGCCTTGCTCTATGCTCTATATACATATGTATATGTATATACGAACAACAACAAATATCAAAAGGCATACAAAATGTAAAAATATTAATAATGAGCCAAGCGACGGCGCAGAGCAGTTGCCCAAAGGCAGCAACACGACCAAATGAGAATGTGGCGGAAAAATTGTGGAAAATTTATTGATTTTGACTTCGAGAGGAGAGCGCAACAAAAACCCAACAAGAAACAAGAAAAAAAATATACAAAATAAAATAAAGTAAAATGAATGGCAGAGCGGCGCAGGCTATAAATGATTGCCTGAATGTTTATCAGGCTCGGACAAACACACACACACACACATAAATATATATACGTGTGTGTGGGTGCATTATAACGAAATTGATTTCGATCTTATCTTGCTTATCGTTGAAATTTTTATATTTTTATTGGCATTCGCATTAAAAATACTTAATCTCACAGCGAAGCTATTACGGCAACCACCCTCTGTGGCTCCACTTGTGGGGTTGCACTTGGGGATTGGGAGGGTAGCTCTTTAATAATGTCCATATCGAAATTTTACTTTATCGCGATTTTTCGCTTGCTGCCTCATTTTTTTCTCTTTCTCTCTTTTCTGTTTTTGTTTTTGTATTTGTTTTTAGTGTGCGTCGTTCGTAATATTATTATTATTTTTACGTTATTAGCACCCGTAGGGCTCTCGTGGCGTATGCGTAATGCGCGATAAAACGCGACTGTGTGACGATGTGTGTGTGTGTGTGTGTGTGTGTGTGTGTGTGACTGTCAACTAATGAGACTTTTTAATAAATTGCCCCACCATTTTTAGTACAATTTTCATTATTAATAAAACTTTATGACATATATATCACACGTATGTGTTGTGTAAATGTGCGTTTGTTTAATAAAACAGAGCCAGTCGGCAGGCGAGCTAGACTAGGGCATACCCTGTTGCGAAGAAGAGTGTGTCGGATTTATGTAAATGCAGGACTTTTTCTGTGGTAAAGTATATATATCGACTTTTGACTCCATAGTCCTCCGCTTCCAGCCTCTGGCTACTCAATATTTTGGATATGTGTTCCTAAACTTAAACAGGATATTTTTATACATTACAGGACATACAATCTACACAACTTTTTAACACCCCTTTGCCTGCTTTTAATGCTTACAGGGTATTAAAAAGCGTAAACACACAAACATTTATGAGTCCAATTAAATTTCATAAGTTCCCAGCTGTATGTGTATGTGTGCGATTGTTTGACTTTACGTGTGTGTGTGTGTGTGTGTGTCTGTTTATTTGTGTGCGTCATGTCCACGTCAAAGGACGATGTGCATTAGAGCGCCTAAAAGTGGATTGCTACCAAAAAAAAGAAGCAATAATTACCATTGCAGAATTTATGATCGAAAAACCTTTTAAATTTACTGTCTATACTAAAGGATGGGAACGTTGCTAAGTAGGTCTATATATTATTATATACCAAACAAGAAGGCGCTAAAAAGTCGAGTATAACAAAAATGACATTTTAGCTGTATCTATATATACATAGACATTAAGATTATCATAGACGAAGTATGCGCTTCTCATGCAGAATTTGAAATATATTTCCTTAATATATATAGATTCCCTATGATCAAAATACCTGATTATTAGAATTTCTATAAAATCCCCATAGTAATTCAATTACTTTAATATGGTAGGTAAGTTCAAGGATTTTCTTAGCTTTCAGCTGTCAACCTCAAAGCATGCAATAAATGTTTTAGGATTGTATGGATAGATAGGTATATATAGGTTATATTGTATATGTGTACATCTACTTAGATTTATATAGATTGTGCGTTAACTTCCTGCAAGTGCTTAAGACCAATTCAAACTTTTATATTGTTTATATTTCAGCTAGAAATTAACGTCACTCATATGATTAACTAAGGGATCGTAGTATATATCAATATATATGCATATAAGCATTAAGCAATACAGTTCATATATTCTTGCCAATTCGTAAAGCCAATTGTATGTTCGTTTTATTTTATTAAGTTGCCAATTAAAATTTTGGTTTCGTTTTAGTTTTTATTTTTAGCAAGCAAATTTGTTTATAGCGCTTAAACTGCGTAAGTTCGGATTACAATATTATATGGGATTTGTTTGATTGCATTGTTATTGTTATTGTTGTTGTAGACTTTAGCTGTGGAACTCACAATGTCTCTAGTCAGAGAGCGCACCTTAATCCTACGTGTAAACTTATATGAAAACAAACGCGCAACGTTACGAGTTTTCTGTTTCTGATCAGAATCAGTTTGTGAAACTTCATTATGTTGAACAAAAATACGTTAGCTGAGAAAAATAGCGACATTTATTTTCTTTTTATGTTTCCTTGATTTATTTTGTTTACACTTTTGCCTTGAGATATACATGTATTGAGACACTTGCTTGGCCCAGCACTTGATTAGTGTTATTTGGCTTATAGAAATCCTGCGACACCTTTTTGTTTTCTTCTTCTTTATTTGTTAATTAAAAAACACTTTTTGTTCACTGAGATTGGCTTTAGATTGCATATATTTCATAGAGCTGTTGCTGTTGCTGCTTTCTTGTTGTTGTTGTTGTTGAAACTTACAGAACTTGTACAGGGCGTTTCACTTATTTATCATACCGACAAGTCTAGCACGCCGTTGTGGTGGCCACGCGCGGCTACTTCTGCACCACGTACGCGTTTTCTGTAGACTGAATTTCAATTTGGACACAGCCTGTCGCCGCGTTTGCCCTAAAGGATGCATACAACTCCCACACACACACAGAGGCAGGCCCGAGAGAGAGCGAGCGAACCCGAGCCAGTGCACGAGAGAGAGTCTTGGAAAAACCACCACCAGCCACAGCAGCAGCACCATCATTACCGCCACCACCAACAACAGCTCCCCCAACGCCCATTCGGGCATTTGGCGGCGCTCTGTTGCTATTTTGTTTACCTTCGTTGCGGGGGCGATCGACTGCAGTAGGCGTGGCACTCTACTGAATGCATGTGCTTGTGTGGTAAAACCCAAAAATTAAAAAAAACTGTAGCATAGTTTTGGGCTGCTTCATAAATTGAAATTGTGTCCCTATATGGATGGCTTATTAACTGCTCGTGAGCCTATAAATCTATATATTTGTATAGCGCGCCCACTTGATGGATTCGCTACACACACAATCACCATCAGACTCACACACACACACACACACACTGCAGCGTCACCCTCAGCACACGGAACATGCGCATTCGCTGCAAGCTCTCTGAGAGTCTGTTCGCTCGTCCACTCCACAGTTTTTTAATATACTTTATCAACATATCGCAGTCTCTGATAAAACAATCATCGTTTATGGTGCAACACGCTCAAAGCAAATGCCACACACAAGCACAAACACAAACACACACTCACGCCTAGCTCACAGCATGATTGAGATATTGTGCCTACCCCTCAGCGCTAGCCTGCGGGGGTGGTTCAACTCAACTCGAAACGCGTCAAGTCCTCTGACAATAGCCAAACTGGGTTAAATTCAAATGCAAAAAAAAAGAAGAAATTTATATATGTATATATAACCAGCCCACAAATATGGGTAATGATTTTTGAATAGCTCCCTGTGTCTAACCCACCGACTTGCCACACACCCACATGCGTATGCGTATGCGTAACCAGCGCTTAGCGTGCGGCTCGTTAAAGGCTGCCCAAAAAGTTTCATTTTATGGGGGGAGCAGCTAAATGTACGCAGGAAATGACAAGGCATAGTTTTCGCATTTCTTTTAAACTATAAACAAAACTAAAAACGCGAGCTAACAAAAAAATAAATAACCTAACAGCTTCAACTTGGTAGACTAAGATATACCCTGGCTACTCCCAAAGTAAAACCAATTGCATTTCTTTTATACAATAATTATATAAATAATTTTATTACTAATTTCGTCTAAAAAATATTTGTTATTATTTAAATTTTACAATTGCGTCAAAAATACAGTTATTTAAATTTTAAATGGATTATTATTCTTTTATAAATATCAGCAAAAATTGTCAGCTGCCTTTAGCACATTAAATATTTAAATAACCCTTCTCTCGAAATTCTTGTTTACAGGGTATTTACGTGGAGGCAAATCAAATATGCGCTTAACACGATATATTCAAATTTTCTGTGCGTTCGCTTGGTACCTATTTTATTTGAGTTTTTGTTCTGTTTTCTGTTTTTTATTTATTTTTATATGCCATATAATTTGGCTATATACTAAGCGTGTTTTCAATAACAATCGCTGCGCGGAGCTGTTTACTTGTCGCCCTTGCTGCTACTTGAGCTTTTGCGCTGACGGTGCTGTAGTAGTTCCTGATATTGTTCCATGGAACCATCCTCATGCTGCGAGGTAAATTGCTGCTCTTGTTGTTGCTGCTGCTGAGACGGTGACTTCTCATCGCTGGCGGACTTTGAATCGTTGCGCTTTTGTGCGCGATTCGATTTCTTAATTTTGTCACGCACGCGCTTGCCCAGCCGCGAGGCTGCTAGCACCTGACTGACCTTGGAGCTCTTCAGGTAGCGAGTGCGCCATGACTGTCAGGGAAATGAAATGAGTTTAGTTTAATGTAAAATATTGTTTATATATGTGTATACATTACCTCTGAGTTGGTATCTTGCAGCTTCTCGTGATCGTCGTCGCTGGTGTTTAGCAGTATTACATCGTTGTCTTCTTCATCCGGCTCGCCTACCTTCTCGGGCTCTTCAGTTTTGATTTTGACGGCTGCCTCGTCTTCTACAGTATTCAGTTCCTCAATCAATTCCAAATCGCCGCCTATGGATATGACATCATCGTTTTGATCTTCATCATCTGCAGCGGGCTGTTCGGCTGCCTCTTCTTCTTCTTTTACATTTGATTGTTCCACAGATTCAACGGACGCCTCTTCAGCTGTGTCTGCAATCTCTGATGTGGCTTCAGCTTTTTTTTCTTCCACTACTTCTGCTACTTCTTTAGGCGCTTCCGTCTCTGTTGCTTGCTTCTGCTCGATGGGAGCTGCTGGCTGCGTTTCAGCTTCGTTTTCGCTGTCCTCTCTCACCTCGCCCTCTTCGGGTTCGCTTTCCTCTGCCGGAGTTGGAGCTGGAGCTGGAGCAGCAGCAGCAGGTGTCTCTGGAGGCACAGCAGCGGTTGGTGCGGCTGTCGTTGCTGTCGCTGTTGTTGTTGATGTTGTTGCAACTGGCTTCTTTGCTGGTTGCTTGCTCTCGTCATCCGTGCTATCACTTATGAGCAGTGTCTCTGGCTCAGCTGGTATTGGTATTACATCTGGTGAGGCAGAGCGAGATTTGCTTTGCTCCAGTACCGGCACAGCCTTTGTCTCGGGTACCTTTGCGTTGCTAACGGCTTGCTTTTCCGGCGATTTAGTAGACGTACGATAATTGCGCTTTAGCTTAATCTTTTTCGTAGGAGCTGCATCTGGTTTTCCATTGGTGTTGCCATTGGCTTGAGCTTGATCTTGATTTTTAGCGGGCTTACTTGCTGTCGACTCGTTCGACCTTCGCTTGTGATGGCGTTTGTCCTTCTCCGACAGCTTCTTAGGCACTTCCTTCTCCTCATCATCATCATCATCCGATTTCACCTCGATCTTTGTTATCGGCTCCATGGCCAGCTGAGACCGAATAGCGCGCGCTCTCGCCTGCAGCTCAAGCAGCTCCAGCACACTGATCTGTCCATCCGCTGAGTGGAAGTGAGTTGTAGAAACATTATTGTAATATGATTTAGTTAGAGTAGGCAGTTATTGCCATTCAGTATTCACTTTATATTTTTTTTTTCAACTTACGTTCCTTATTTTCATTGATTTTATCGGCTCTTTTAGCGCTTGATTTCCGCAATTTGTTAGCTGCAAATTTCAAATTACGCAATAGCATTTAGTTAAAAATTAAAATTGACTGCACGCCATGGCTGCGACGACTGGTGATGTTGACAATATGAGCCTGACAGAGCAGGGAGAACAGGAACAGGCCGAGGGTGAGGCGGAACCCGAAAAGTTCACGGTACGACTAAATGGACAAAAGGATTTGGAACAAAGACTCCGCGAATTCAAGGCTGCCTGCGATGCCCACGAGAAACATGCACGAAAGCGCAAAAGGCGTCGCTATTATCACATGGGTCTGATGGCCAAGGTCGTCATGGAGACGACTCACGAGGAACTGCGTCGCATGCTCGAGCATGGCACCTATACATTTCACGTAGATATGGTTGCCTTCAAGCCGGACGAACTAGCCGCCATACTGGAGACCCTAAACATAGCCATATCCGCACATGCGGATGAGAGGGAACTGCGCACTGCGACGGGTCTGGCTGTTGAGATAAATGGTGATTGCTGTCGCATTGGTCGGTTGCGCAACAACTGCACCACAATGCTGGCACGCGGCTCAGTGGTGACGCTAACAACAGATCCAGCTTATCGTTATGCCGGCTTCCGAGAGATTGTCTACGTAATCAATTTACGCGCCTATCTCAGCTCAATAAGGCTAAATGATGTGCTGCTAATTGGACGCGAGGTTCGTTGTCGTGTGGTCAAAACATTGAACGAAGCGCTGGCCGTGTTGATCATCGATGCAGGTCTCTTATCCTCGTATGACTTTATTGAGCTACCTCGCCAATGCCATTCCCTGGCGCCCAGCGTATATCCAGAACTCTATCTGGCCGATCTGCAAGCGGCCGCAGCGCTCAAAGCCAGTTTTGTGGTGTTGCCCAAGATTCGATGTAAATCGTTCCTTCGCGCAGTTCGAGCAGCAATTATGACCGAGTTCGATATGCGACTGATTGGCTGCATTGACTTTGAGTATGTACGGAATAACATGCTCGATTTATTAGGCATCATCAAGCTACTGGACTATATTTGGATACCGGACATGTTTAGTGTAAACTGCTGTGTGTACAACTATATCATGGAGGATGCGCTGCCCATTGCGCAATGCCAGAAGAAACCGGTCATTGGCACAGTGCCGTTGGAGCGTTGCAACGACTTTAAACGGTTTGAGCTGCACGAGTTTCTCTGGAAAATTGATACGATACATATGCAGAAGAGTCCGTGGTGCAACAAGTATCCACTGATTGTTAAGAAACTGATGCCCATACGGGATTACCGTGTGGGTGTGGTACAAACACAGCAACAGGTGAAGAGCATATTGACCTCCTATCAGACAATTGTTAACTTCATCATACGTACGATTGCCACCATCGAGTGTCAAGCGATATTTGTGTATACCAAGTGCGAGAACGCGAGTGTTGCGCTTGCGCGCTCAGAAATCTATTGTCCAGTGTATATGATGATGCCACTAAATGATGACGATGATGAATTCGCCATCAAATGTAAATTCGACTTGGCCCGCGCATTACATCTGCGTCGAAACACGCATCCTATTGTCTATACACCCGATCTGAACGAATGCAACTATAGCCCCATTGAGTTTGGCGTTGATTTCATGCGGCGCAAGGGCTGCCTGGAGGTTGGCGACTTTGTGGTCACCTTGGAAGTGGGCAAGGAGGATGAGGAAAACGTTGTGCTAGGTGTCGGCGAGGATGTGTGCATACTGCGCGCTTTCTACGTGGCCCCAGTATTCAACTGCGAGAAATTCAAATATGGCACATAAGAGCTGCGAGTAGATTTAATCATGACGTGCAGTTGTACAGATACCTCTTCTGATGATCATTCAAAATTAAATGTATGTTATCTAGCCTTTAGGTGTTTAAAGAATGCGGGTTGGGCATAGATGAATACACTTGAACACTTACCACGACGCAGCTGACTGCCTTCAATATCGCTGTCCGATGATATCTCTTCCAGCGATATGTGCTCTGTAAGTACAGAGAATATAAAGGTATATGTATTGTGAGCATGCTGCTTGTACTTACCCTCCTTTTGCTCTACATCAGAATCATCGGAGCTCTCTGTGTCCGTGGGACAACGCGAGTTTTCGATTATCGACTTCAGTCGCTTAGTTGAAATGCAAAGCAGCTCATTTAGACAAAGTTCCTCGACTTCATCCAAGCTAGATTCCTGCAAGGAATATCGTTTATCACATACATACATATTACACATTTTATTCAGCTTACCTTTAAAAAGGCTGGTGCTAAATTCATAATTGTTTTTGGTTTCAGTGTAGCAAATATTTGTTTGACCAACTCAAGGCGATCATCGATGTAGTAAGAAATAGGATGAAGTGTTCGATCCTCCTCTGATTTTTCCTTCTTAATGTTTATTGGCTTGGGTATTTGATCACTTTTAATCTTTTTCTTCGAGCTGCTCATGTTGGTAATTTACAATTCAACCCAAATTAAAACCAAATAAGGTTTTTCGCTAAATTTTGTTAGACACCGAAAAACAAGAACAGCTGATTACTAGAGTTGTCGTACTTCTCGTTTAAATCGATAGTCTGTGCGGCAACAGCTGAGTGCACATCATTGCAGAATTGTGTTTTGGCAGTTTTGGCTTAAATTGTAAAGAAATTAAGTGTCGTTTAATTTTTTAGCTTAAATAAGAAAGTAAGTATATAGAAATAAGCTTTGCTGTTCAGCAAGTTATTTTTTTACGTTTATAATGAACGGCCGGTAACGACAAGTGGCTCGTGCTCGATTGCGAATTGGATAACAATAGGCATGTTTCTATGTAAATTATTTCGACTATGTGCAGAGATAAAACCAAGTCTGTAAAAACAATCAAATTGATCTCGTTTCTGTGGCGTGTATTATTAAAGGAAATTGATTCACTGTAAATAGTTTTAGATATAATATGGGCTCTCGTACGTTTATATTTGGTATATATTGGCTTAGTGTGCAATGGTCACACCGCTAGCCATATGTTCATTAACTATAGAAGAGAGAGACGTGAGAGTGTAAGCGTCGGTAAAAATAGTTTTCCGTTTCATAAAGCGGTTCGTACCGCTAATACAACAAGAACAAATTTAAAAATACATTAAAAATGTATGTGTGCAATAGCTGTGTAAATACAAAATAAATCTCAATATGTAATTATATGTGCGGAGTAAATACAAATGCAAAGCACTTTTCAATCATCTAAGCAAACGTACACACAAATGCAAAAACTGACGTTCGAGCAAAGCGAAAAAAAAATTACGCTACAAAGCAATTAAAATGAGCATTCCGCGCGGGGGCAATAGCGGCGGCGGCAGCACTTCGCTCGATTTAACCCCATTGCTCGATGCCAGCAACAACAGCGATGATAGCGATCAAGAAACGGGCGGCAAACCAAATGGAGGCGCCCAGCTGAATACCTCCTCCAGTGTTAGCTCCAAGGAACTGCGTAGTAGCCATCGGGATAGAGAGCGAGAGGAAGCGGATGCGGCAATATTTGTGAAGAAGGTTGGCAGCGCACTCTTCTATGGCATCGCCTCGTTTATGATCACCGTCGTCAATAAGACCGTCCTCACGTCTTATCGCTTTCCCTCGTTCCTCTTTCTGAGTCTGGGTCAGCTAACGGCCAGTATTATAGTGCTCGGAGTTGGCAAACGACTGAGGCTAGTCACGTATCCGCCCCTGCAGCGAAATACGTTTGCGAAGATCTTTCCACTGCCCTTGATCTTTGGCTTCAATATGATCTTCGGCCTTGGAGGCACTAAAGCGCTCAGCTTGCCCATGTTCGCTGCTTTGCGTCGCTTCTCCATCCTGATGACGATGCTGCTGGAGCTGAAGATACTTGGAGTAAGGCCGACGACGGCAGTACAAATTAGCGTTTATGCTATGATCGGTGGCGCTTTGATAGCCGCCTCCGACGATCTGTCATTCAATATGCAGGGCTACACGTACGTGATGATCACCAATGCGCTGACAGCCTCGAACGGCGTGTTTGTAAAAAAGAAACTGGACACCTCGGAGATCGGAAAATACGGATTGATGTTCTACAATTCGCTGTTCATGTTTGTGCCTGCCTTGTTGCTCAACTATGTGACGGGCGATCTCCAAAAGGCCATCGATTTCGCCAGCTGGAACGATCCGGCATTTGTTGTGCAATTTCTCCTCAGCTGTGTGATGGGCTTTATCTTATCACACAGCACAATTCTGTGCACCCAGTTTAACTCTGCGCTAACAACGACAATTGTCGGTTGCCTTAAGAACATCTGTGTCACCTATTTGGGCATGTTCATTGGAGGAGATTACGTATTCTCGTGGCTCAACTGCATTGGCATCAACATCAGCGTAATGGCAAGCCTTCTCTATACGTACGTCACATTCCGACGGAAGCAGGCTCCCGATAAGCAAGCCCACTTGCCCAGCTCTCGAGGAGAGAGCGTCTAGTCGAAGATTAATCAGTGAGAGAGCCTGCTGCCAAAGCCATAAAAACTTCATGTAGAGCGTCGAGCAACGACTAGATTAAGAGAACAACTAAACACTATAAAGAAGCACACATTGTATACAGCAAAACTATAAAATGTACATATGTAGTTATGGATTTAAATATTATATATACTTGAGCATATATGTATATGCATATTTGTAAGCACTTATGTTATTTAAATGTCTTTGTAAATTGAATCACACTCGCGCAATTCATAATGTTAGTGTCATAAAAGAGCAACACAAACCATAATAGTTAATTGAATATATCTCAACAAAATATATAGATATACGTACATAAATGTATATCGATATTTGTGTGTGTTTTTACACCTACACCAAAAAGCAACAATTTGTTCTGTTTCGCTTACACTTAAGATAAGGTTGTTCATTGATAAGGCTTGAGACTCCGCAAATGCGATTGCTCTTACCTGTTTCTTAGTTAAATGTATTGTTCAATTATGAGAACAACTTCACCCATGTGCTACCTGTTCGAAAGACTCTTTACTGTCATGTCTTGAATTTATCATGTGCGACGTGTGCGCGATTTTAAATACATATATGAACTTTTTAAATTCGTTAGATGTTTTTGGCATTCTACAAAAATCTATACAGCAGTTTTATAAAATATATTATTTACGCATAAAACACTAGTGTCCCAAAATTTGCTTCAACTCAAATTTCCTCTTATCAAAAAGCAATTATTGATAAAAGCTATGTTTATTGCCTTAGAGCTTTAGGTGTGCCTTGTCAATCAGCCAATCAATCACTTCACATCTTTAAGCGTTACTTAACCCACTCTGCCTATCTCTTAGAGTTCAGAATAAAACGGAAATGCTTAGCCCCTATAATTTAGACAGCGCTCTGATAAAAATCCCATTTCTTATAATATTTGTTCATTTTGTCAGCTTCTTGTATTAAGCGCTTATCTCTGTGCCTGCAGTAATGCTTATCTTCCTTAAAGATGTATAAATAAACTTTATATATAGTTTTCTTTTTAATTGCGATTACTTCTAATTTATCTTAGAATTTGCACGTGTTTATTGTCCAAATTACTCATCAGAGATGGAGTGGGAAAAATAATAATAAAACATAAAAGTTAATAGGTACACGGGTCGAGTCAGGTTCAACGTATTTTCGAAGAGTCAATTGTGTTGATATAAACAAAGAGTGGAAGCGAAAAATGCAAACCGGTTTCCACATTTTAGTTCGTCTTTTTTTTGAGTCTTAAGCCGTTTGTGGGCCGGCAATGTTTACTTACGAATCTGTTCGGCTTGGTCTATAGACAAATCGCTTACGCAAAGGGGGTATACTACTGTGGAGGGGTAATTCATGGTCACGCTTAAGAGCCGAGTCACACATATATAATTAGTCAGTGAGTCGTTGGTGATGAGGTCAACAAGCTCGCGGCATCTATTGTTAACGTCACTTAACCATGTTTATCTACAGCAATGATGCAGCAGCTAAGGCGCATCTCACTGTCGCGCCTGCAGCGCAACGTGACCTTGAGCCTGTGGAGCAGATGCGGCTCGACGTCCACGGATGTTCCGCCAGAGGAGCTGGATGCCTTTGAGCGTGATTACTTTCAGCAACGCATTCAGATAACAACATTCCAAAGGCTGTTGCTGGGCGCCGGCTCATCCATTGCCTCATTGCTGAATCCGCACAGGTGGGCACAGCGTATACTTGGCTGTAAATGGGGCATACTAGGTACATAGTTATCTTTCGCAGACACGACATGATTGCCTGCCTGGGCGAGACAACGGGTGAGAATGCGCTGTTGAATATTTTGGATACTATGCAGGCGAGTGAGGAAGGGCGTCGAATCCTTGTCGAAAAGCCACGCATCAATACAAAAACAATTGATCTCAAGAGCTTGGAAGCGTTGCCATCAGACACGTTTGGTTTTGCCTATGCCAAGTTCTTGAAAGATAACGTAAGTATATTTTATATTTATTATATGATTCATTTAAAGCATATCCCATTTTTTACATATTTGTCAATATAGAACGTGACGCCCGATACGCGCATGGAAGTGCGCTTTCTGGAAGATCCTAAGTTGGCTTACATAATGACTCGTTATCGCGAATGTCACGATTTAGTTCATGCCGTGCTGGATATGCCGACGAATATGCTCTGTGAGGTGACTGTCAAATGGGTGGAAGCCCTGAACAACGGACTGCCCATGTGCTATGGAGCCGCAGTGTTTGGAGCGGTGCGGTTGCGACCCAGGTGAGTCGACCTTCTAGCGTTAATTAAAAACACAACATAAAACGACTGACTCATGGCTGAGTGTTTTTTAAAATTATTTTTTACCCACAGACAGCGTCGAGAGTACTTGAAGCGTTATTTGCCGTGGGCCATCGAAAATAGCAAGCAAATGAAGCCACTAATGCCGATTTACTGGGAGAAGCGATGGGAGCAAAAAACGAACGACTTGCGCGCCGAGTTAGGCATTAAGCCGTTCCAATAAAGTTTTTATTATTTAGTTTTGAAATTCGATAATTTTTTGTTTAGAAACGCGGGCATATCGGCCCCAATTCGGTCGTCGTCGATTATAGCGATCTTCGAAGAGAACTAGATGGCAACGCCAATTATTGTGTTTGCATCGCTGATGTGTTGTTAAAGTGCTAATGGCTAATTATTTATTAAAATTACAATATGGCTGAGAAATTTAATGGATTTAGCCACGATGAGATACTTAAAATAACTGGAATAAAAGACGGCAGAAAAAAGCTCAATGTAGAAGCAGGTAATTGTTGAGATTGGCAGAGAGTATTTCTCTCAGTTTTACGCGTGTGTGTGCGTGCGCTAAACAAAACAATTGTTGTTATACATACATAAACATGGGTATATGTGAATACATGAATATTTATAGCAAAGCAAGCGCTCAAAAGCCAGCCCGGTATTAGACGGATGCCGGATAAGCTCTTCCGGCAGGCAGATCAATTGCGAAAGCAACAGCCACAGAAGCCTCAACAAACTGTTGCTGCCAAGGCCAAATCAAGCTCAACCACGCCTACAGAACCGGAACCGAAAGAACCGCCCACTCCCACACTAGAAGAAGAATCACTAAACTTGGAACGTGGCTTATCTGATTCACTGGTCGAAGCGCTCTATTGTGGTTCCGTTAAAGCGCCAATGACAAACGGAAAATCTCAACCAGAATCTGGAGCTGCCACGTATGCCAGCGAAACGACGGATGATAGCTCAATACTAAAGGTAAGCAGCACAGACGATGACGCCAGCATCTTGCCCAGCACCAAAGACTCGACGGAAGAGCGGATCAGCACGGATTCCCCATTCAAAGGGATTTCGCTTAAAGACTTCGAGCAGCATCGTAAAATGATTCAGGAGCAGAACAAGCAAAAGAAAGAAATGCTGTACCAAGCAATCGAACAGCATACGCAAAAAACTGCCGCTGAATGCCGTAAAATTGAAGAGATACGTCACGAACTCTCAAAGCTGGAGAGCGATCTGGCCGTGGATGTTGCTCTACTGCGCAAACAGATTGACAACGCATGCATTCACTTCGCCAATGTTGAGTAAGTCATAAAAATATTTACAACCGATTCAACTCTAAAAACCTATTTATTATTTATCAACAGAAAACAGTATATACGAATCGAGGCTCAATTTCTAAAGGCAAAACTGGATCTTCACAATGCTTCAGAGAAAAAGGAACTGCTCACAGAGCATCTATGCACGGTTATAGCGCATAATGAGGATCGTAAGGCACAAAAGTTGACGGAGCTAATGCAAAAAGTGGGCCTGGCGCCAACGGATGATGAGCCAGCGCCTAAGAAATAATCGAATATAGCGAATTTGTATAAATTCAGTTTGAAGGGATATTAACTTGCATAGATCTTATGATTGATATTATCATGTGTATGTTTGCAAATATAATTGTATTAAGTTTTTTTAGTTTTAAGTATCAAGTGCAAATTGTAATAAATGTAATTCAAATTGGTATTTCCTGTTGTTTTTAACAAGCTGGCAACATCGGAATTGACATAACGCAGCCCTGGTAAAACAGCTGGCTTCCAATGGTTGGAAATGTGGAAATAACGCGTGCGAGTTTTAAAACATAAACAAGTCCTTAATTAATAAAATAAAAGATATCATTGAAAATGGCTGGACGTGGGCGTGGTGGAAAGACAGGATCGCTCACTGCCGAGCAGATGCAGGCGCTGGGCTGCATGGGCAAAGATATGCCGCAAGTGCAAACAGCTCCGCCTCCAACATTTCCACCGCTTCTCAACAAACCAATTTCCCTTGAGGTAAGTGAGAATCGCCCTTATAATAAATAATATAGAAAAATTGGTTTTCTTTTAGACCACTGCCTCACAGAATTATCAGTTACTGTGGAAAGAAGACTTTTTAAACCGCATGCGTGACTCCCCGTATTACATTATTTCGGCGAGCCAGGAGAAAGAACATATTAGTGTTAAGGACTGGCGAGAGGTAAGAGTTAATAAATCAATATCAACATCACTTATCTATTCATCTTTCAGAAAGCTATGGAGCGCCTTAAGCATAAGGCACAGCCCGAATTTAACTACAAAGCGATGCCAAGGGAACTAAATCTGAACAACCGCAAACGACGAGCAGCTGAGCCACGACCCAAGCTGCTGCTCAAAAAGACAAACATTGAGGATAGATTGAAACAGTTAGAGCAGAAGGAGCTCACAAGCGGTGGTGAAAACGAAAATGACGAAGCCAAGCAGGAAAGCGACTCGGATCATGACGACGACCAAGAAGATCCAGATGCAACGCTCGACGATGAAATGGACGAGGAGAACGACTATGCCAACGATTATTTCGATAATGGCGAAGCGTACAACGAAGAGGACGACAATTTGGACGATGGTCCCGTCTATTAAGCAAAAAATAAACATTGTTTGGGATTGTGATTTACTAATTCGCCACTTTAAGCTTATTCAACACATATTTATCAGAAATGTACGGGATTGGCGAAGATTTAATCCAAGCTGCTGGGTGGACTGTAGTTCAAATGAATCAAGCCGGAAGATTTAACCTGAAAAATGAGGAGTCTTAGTGTGGATAATTTGGATACCCGAAAAGTTACTCACAAATCCAATGGTGCCAGCCAGAATTAAAATTCCAGTTAAGAGGGTGGCATTGTACTTGGTGTTGTTACGGCTGTATTGCTCCTGCCAGTCACCAGCTGGGACAGGCAAATCGTCCATGGTGGAGTGCTTATGGTGTCCACCGTGGTAAGCGGCGCGGGACATGGCGCCAGCTGTAAAATAGAAGTCAGTAAAGAATCAAATTATACTCAATAAACATAAATCGCCATGACGCAGGAGCGACATATTATGTAATTTTTAAGGTTAGCAAAAGCAGCTCAAATCCAGTATACAAGACTTGTACTTACCATTCCTGAGCAGCAGACCCTGCTTGACAATGTGCTTAACCAACATGTTTGCTATAAAATTGGACAAAGTATATGTTTCTATTTTTCCAATATTTTTTTTCGCATTAAAACTACTCACCAAGAGTTACTTATGTATCGACCAGTGTGACTGTGTGCAAGCGTTGAAAAAATACTGAACAACGTTATGTTGGCTGCGCGCAACTTTGAGACTCACTTGAAGTTAGCTGCACATTGGCAGTGGCTCATCGAACAGCTGTTCTTGGCGGAGGCGTTCTTCAATTTGGAAACAATTATAGTTGAAAAAATTGCAAAGCAATTTTACGCTGCCCACATTCCGTAGCCATGCTGACAATCGGCACTTTGGCCAACATCAAGCACATACTGCAAAAAGAGCTGTTCAACAGTAGCGGCGAACGTCTGCTCTCAGTGGTGACGGTGACGAAGACTTTCAAAAAGAAAGACAAGCGGGCCTGCTACCTATGTGTGCTGACGACAGCGCCACCCGTACCGGTGGTTACGCTCTGCCTGGTGAAGCAATACGAGCAGCGGGATAGCGAGTATAAACGGAAACGGAGCTGGCAATTGGATGAAATCAAGTGGATCGATGGCCGCAATGAGCAATTCGAGACGCACGAGTTTGACATCCAACTGGAAAAGCTGTACAAATGGTACGCCCTAAATTTGCACGAGCGTCAGAATTTTCTGGCTGTGCTCAATCGCCAGATACAAAAGTATGTGCGTGGACCCCGTGCCGAGTTCCGTAATGTGCCTCAAGCTTGGCTATCGGAGAAATCGCCAGAGAAAATTGCGGCAGGTCGCGAAGGAAGAGCGGGCAATGTAACCCAGAAACCGACTAATTCGGACGATGAAGAGGACGAGGAGGAGGCGCAAGAGTTTACAGCTCTCACGGATAAGGAGGCCAACGAGCTGGGTAAATTGTTTTCCGAATGTGATTTTGCCATTAAGGATGCGGAGCAGTTCATCGAACAGCTGTCCAAGGAGCTGCACGATTTGGATGGTGTAAGTAAATTTCAATATGTTAGAACTAAGCTAATTATTCATATATCTACAGGCTAATATGCAAAGTGTGTTGGCCTCGGAGCAAAAGGTGCTCAAAATGATGGAGCACATAGACAATGCTATTACGGAGGCGGATAAGTTTGAAACACGTCTGGATACCTATGAGGATATTTTGGGTCATGTGAAGGAGACCATGGAGAAGATAGGCGGCAAGAATGCCATGATTGAAATTGCCAATAACAATAATATCAAATTAATGAAGGAGCTTAATAAAGTCATTGTGAGTATTACAATGTTACTTCTTGATATGTATTAACTCCCAATTTTGTTGTAGAGCCAACTGGACTTGCCGCATAGCCATCAGCAGGCGCTGGAGGATCCCGATTTAAAGACCGCAGCCGGACGTAAGGCAGCAATTGCTGCAGCGCAGTGTCTGCAACAGGCCATGAATAGCGATATAGATCCAGCGCTGCTACGCCTGGAAGCTGTACAGGATCAACGCAAACGCTTTGAGAAGTGGAAACAAAAGTTCTCAACTACAGTTAGTCGGTTCCTGAATAACCTCTTCATCCATCTTGGCAATGAAATTGGTGATATGCCGCTGACTACCACCGAGCTGGTACTCCCTAACCACTCGAATGTGCATCGCGAGCTGACGCCGTATACGGAGCTAATGCACTGGTCCAAGGCCATGGATCGCAAGACCTACGACGGACTGATGCGCGTCTATACGGCTTCGCTAAGCAAGATTTACGATCGTGATATCAGAAATTTCTTTAATCTAGTAATAATATTTTCATAAAGTTGGGCTGCTTCCCATAGTAAACTCTGATTCCTTTTCAGGCCAAGCTTCAAGTCTCGGACAAGCTGCGTAACTCTCGCGAAGATCTGGATATGTCCACTTCGTCACGTAAGTCTGCTGTCTCTACCATTCCGTATGGGACGCTGGGTATCAATCGTGATCAATGGGGTCCCGGCGTGGATAGTGCGGATCGTGTGCGTTTCGATGCCTTGTTGGAAAAAGTTCTGGCCGAACTAGAGCCCATTGCGCTGCAGGAGCAGTTGTTCTGTATCAATTTCTTTCAAATGGATGTGATAAGTCCTACAACGAAGAACACCCAAACGACGCTGGATATGGAAAAGGATAAGGGCGTGGATATGTCGCAGTCGTTCAACGCCTCTACCGCCTCGCCTACCAGCGCAAGTACTGACGCTGGTGGAGTGCCTCAGAAGCGCATCGATCGGCAGATCAATGAAGAAGTGCGCAAACTGATGATGGGACTCTTTAGTTGCCTGGAACCGGAGCTAGTTAGCTTCATACAAAGCTTTGAGCGTGTGGATAGTTTGTGAGTCACCTATATAACATAAGTATCTTTTATAGTAACACTTCTTTTCTTTTAGCTACTCTCTATATGTGTTGGTGCGTCTAACGCAGCACGTCATGTCCGCCCAGGACACACATTCCTTTTTGAGCATGACCTTTGCCTCGGCATTGGTGCAGGTCAAGCGCAACTTTGATCGCTTTATGCAGCAGCAACTGCAGTCCATTAAGGAGGCTAAGCTTCCAAAACGATCAAAGGCCATTTTGCCCTATGTGGAGAACTTTGAGAACTTCGCACAGACGGCTGAGGGAATCTTTCGCAAGTCGGATCGTCGCACGGACATGGAGAAATGGTACCTGCAGTTGGTTAATGCCATATTCGAAGGGATCAGCATACATTCGCAGGAGCATCCAAAGACGCCGTCACAGGTGGTGCGCATGGAGAACTATCATCATATGTATTCACTGCTGGCTCAGCTTAAGGTTCCCGGCTTAGATGCCCTTAAGAAGGAGGCGAAGATACGTTACAATGATGCACTTAAAGCATACGTAACGCAATACTTTGGCAGGCCACTGGAGAAGCTGAACGTAAGTCTTGTAGAGTCCAGCCTTCACATATTTCTAAATCCTTTCCCAATTTCAGCAATTCTTCGAGGGTGTGCAGCAAAAGGTAGCGCAGGGCGTCAAAGAGACCGAAATAAGCTACCAAATGGCCTTCTCTAAGCAGGAGCTTCGCAAGGTGATCAGCCAATATCCAGCGCGTGAGGTGAAGAAGGGTCTGGAGAACCTCTATAAGAAGGTGGAGAAGCATCTGTGCGAGGAGGAGAATCTCCTTCAGGTGGTATGGCATGCCATGCAGGAAGAGTTCATAGCCCAGTACAATTATCTCGAAGAGCGCATACAGAAATGTTATGCGGGCGCCATGATCAATCTGGAGTTTAACATACAGGACATACTCGCCTTCTTCTCCGATATTGCGCGCTCCCACTGAGTGCGCGCTACATCGGAGATTTACTTTTAGGTGCAATAGTATTTAGAGCGATGTGTTTTTTAAGACAAAAATATACGCGCACATATTTAAACAGCTGATTACAGTTCAGAGCTCCGACAGAGAGATAAAGAGAAAGAGAGTTGTAGATTGAAGCTGCCCCAAGCGCGAGAGAGCATTTCTGCGTCAGCGAGAGCACTTCACGTAACAGTTGGTGTTGTTCTGAGACTAGCTTTTTCGCATCAGTCAATTTGCGCGCTTCGTTCCGTGCGGTTGGTTGGTCGTCGGTGTGTTCGTTTTGTTCGCTTCTCAGCTACTCTCGTGTCTGCGCTCGCTTGCGTGCGTGCGTGTGTGTGTGTGTGTGTGAGTTTGTATGCACGCGTGTATGATATGCAAATGATAATTGAAAAAGCCGCAGCGATCGCATATACTATATTGGCAGTAAACGGGGTGCATACATTTATTGCTCGACTGTGACTGGCTCAAAAAGTGCCCTACAGCTTTGGCCTACACACACTCGGCGTATCCTTAACGCTGTCGTCGCGGGCGGCGCAGGCGTTGCCTTTGCCTTTGCCTTTGGTCTCCGACTACCCAACTCCAAAGTAAGCGACCAGTTCGACAAGTTTTTTGTGTTGCCTTTGCATTTTTTATGCACACGCTTTTGTTTTTTTTTTCTTTTTTGGTGTTCCTGTTCTTTTTTATTTTTTGTTTGCATACAAATGCACGTAGGCAACTAAAGCAACAACAACAGCAACGAGCAGTCGTAGTAGAAAAGCAACAACAACAACTAAGTACGAGTATATCGTTTCCTTTCTCTCTGCCTCTACGTTATTCTTCGAGCTTCGTTTAGTTCTGGCGGTCATCAGTTACTGCTGTTGTTGTTATTGCTATTGCTCTTGTTGCTGTAGTAGCTGTATTTTAAATTTTGCTAAAAGCTGGCCACCTTGATAAGCCGCTGGCAGGTCCAACTTGCTGGCAACCTCAACCAAGTTCAATGCTGTTGCAATGCATTTTCAACTTCCGCTATGCGCCCGCGGGTCAATAAACATTAATTAGTTGCTTACCACGAACAAAAAAAGAACGTGCGCAAGATTTGGACATGACTTAACTGTGTGTGTTTGTGTGTTACAAAGTAAGGCAGACAAATAAAAGCTTTAAGGTTAAGTGTCATAAAAATGCATTGCGCCTAAAAACAAAACAGATATCATATACCAGCACTGTAGGGGAAACTATTAAATTATAAAAGAAACAATTTATTTAAATTAATAAATGTGAAAATATAAACTCGCAGTTTATGGAGTATATTAAAAATATCATAAATAACTTAATTTATTTTAAATATCCCTTGGAATTACCTATTAAAATTTGCACTATTTGTTTACCTGAATAAGTTCAAAGTCTGATTTTGTACATAGGATCTGGGTACGGAAGCCAGCAACAGTAGTTTTTAAATTGGGAAAGAAATATAATACAAATCGTCTGGCTCCTCTTACACACATCTAAACAAATTGCATTATAAATAAAGAAAATAGAAAGCATTTAGAATTTACTCAATTTCATGAGAATCGCAGAGAAGGCGGCGTCTTACAGAACACTTTTGAGGTATAGTAGAAAGTAAACTTTATCACTCAGGCCCACATTATATGCGTTTCCTTCAGTAAAAACTTTTAGATAAATATTGCACGCTGTGTTCTGTATGTAATTTCATCCGTTCTACTAACCGTGACAAAAATGAAGGTTTTCGCGATTGTTGGGGAAAAAAAAAACAATAAATATTTACTTTTGCTTTAGCTTTTGCTTTTCTATTTTTATTATTTTTGTATACCTGCCAAACGATAAAGGAAATACTTTAGAGACTGTGCAATATCCGCTGTGAGAATGCTCGATAGCTTTGTAGTGCGTAATGCATATTTGCGAAGAACTTTTGCCGCTATTTCAGATATTGCATTGCCAAGCATAGAGGAACCCGACTCAATGCCATGAGCAACTGCCACTATCACTTGGTAACCGGCAATCGGGAGGGAGGGAGGAGGAGGGCAGGTAACCTTAGTGGTGGCCATTACTGGGCTTCATCGTGGGCTTTGCCACTGAGTCATGAACGCGCTCTTCAGACACCTTTTCTTGCAGCCTTTTGTTTTGCACTTTATGGCAAATGCTGGCCGCAAAGAACTGGATATGTCAGTTGACTTCGGTTATAGCCCAGAAGCAAAATGTGGCAATTTTTTTTTTTTTTTTGTAGAGCGTAGAGTAGATTGGAGAGGGTATAGTTGATTATGTGATGGCGCTGTTCTAGTTGAGTTTAAAGTTATCATCTGTTTAAGAAGTATGCTTAGAGCATTCTCTTGTCGTTGTGATTTCTCTCCTTAACAATTCTCTTCAAGATGTTTGAGATCTGATAGAAAAGTAGCAAATTTAACAGTTTCTGCCTCATTAAATGTTTGCAGAGCATTCGACATTCGTTATCGCGTTTCTCCTGAATTCTTTTTACTTATTTTGTTACACATAAATGTCGTTCTTTTTGCATTTCAGCCAATGCAACTGTTTTCTGCTGGGCGGGCGACATTTTCATTTCCACGCCCGTTCGCCATTTGCAGTGGGTCGCTTTGGTGCTTTGGAAAGCGAGTGACCGCTATTTGAAAGACAATTTTTGCTTTTTATTATATTATTTTCACAGACTAGACTAATTAAAGAGGGACGCCCATATGCTTGTCTCAGCTAGAATCGCATAAAGTTCTTGGGCTCTAATCGCTGACCAGGTCTAAAAATTTAATGAACTTTCTGTCGAGCAGCAGTTCAACTTGTTGGCGTCGACATACGTGACGCTTAAACAATAATTTTTTGTACATATTTTTGGATTTGGTAATCAACACAAAAGTAAAAAGAAATAATAAAAAAAAAAACAAACTAAAGTGTGCCATATATGGACAAACACCTAGCTATACATATGTATGCATGCTTGTACGTAAAACATCAAGCGAGTTTTATATTTGGTTTGTGTGTTTAGTTTATTATGCAGTTGGAAATGTGCACTGCACATTGTTCAAAACAATGGCATTATACGATAATAGAAATTAAGCGGGTTGCATGTCGGCAGCTGGGAAAATTAAGTCACTCCGAAGACCCACAAAAACTATATAAAATATATATACATATATAAAAAAAAGTAAATTACAAGTCGAATTGCAGTGTGATTGACTATGACATACCCTGATAATGGTGTTCGTCTGATGTAAAGCATATATATATATATATCTATAGATAGGTAGCAAAGGTAAAATGAGTCATTGCAATTCTTTCTGTATTATCTTGTGTCTTTCGAGTCATCCAACAAGTCGAGTACTTTATATTTATATGTTATTTCTATTGAAAATCTATTTAACCAATGTGATAATTCGATATCTTTAAAACATGAAGTGCGTATATAAATTTGATTAAGTTTTATCGATCTCTTGAATATTCAAATAATTCTCTTCCAAGCTAAGCCTTCTACTGCCTCCAGCATGCCTTTATAACCAAAATCAGTATACCCCATTTAGTCATTTTCAATGGGGTATAGGGCAGGGGAGAAAAGTTACGGCAAGTGCTAACTAACTAAATATATGCACATGGGGCGCAAACACACATAATACAGCTTACACAGCGTCTGGGGCAGTGAATCTTATTTGTGGCTGTTCTCAGCCATGTGAACAACGACAGCAACAGCAACAGCAGCAACAACAACAACAACAACTAACACTAGTCAAACAAGCAATACCAAGTGCATTAATCAGCCACTGCTGAAGGGCCGACTTTAACGTTCCAGACAAAACTCCAACTATGGCTGCTCAGCTAGCCTAAAAGTAACTCTAGCAGCTAAATAGTAGAAGTCGTTGTTGTTGCTGTTGGGACCATTTATGGTGTCAGTAAGGTAAGGTACACTGCAGCAAATAAATGGTATGGTCTTGATAATGATAATGATGCCCCGCTTTGGTCTGGTACGGCCCTCAAAAGTGGTGCAATTTCTGTTGCCGGTTCTGGGCCTGTGGCTCTCTACCATATATGGTGCTCAAGTTCTTTGCCATGGCCAAGACTGCCTGCTAAGAAAGTGGCCAAAAAGGCAAAAGCAAAACAACAAAAAAGTGAGAGAGACAGACGTACATATATACATATGTATATATGTAAGTGTATATAAAGTAAAGCATGTTGTGGAAAATGGCGCTGCACTCAATTTGGTAACTGACAGGCGGCTCGACTCGTTCGCTCGTCCCCTTTAAAAGTCTGCTTCTGGTTTGGCTTCTTTTCACCAGCCGAAACGTGCAGCTGATCGGTGGGGTCGTACTCGTGTCTTACACATATACATACGTACATACATACATATATCTACATACAGACTAGTTTACCTATTTCCATGTGCCCGGTTCTAATGTCTGTGCCATCGAGCATTTTCCATGCTAACTTGCTTCGTGTCGCTTTTGCACGCACAATTGCTTTGATGTAGAGGGTGAAGAGCAAAGTCTTGTTCACTGTTAACTGGGTTCAGTGAGCCCAAATTATGTGTTATAAAGCTAAAACTTTAAGAACTCCATAAACTAAAACGAGCTCTATGGTAGGTGCTAAAGAAATTCTATCTAGCAGGTGTTAGGCAATTAATTTAACTACATTTGAGTTGGGCTTAGTTCAGCTATCAGCGAGGCGGCACAGCACGGCTGACATGAGAATTAAGAATAACAGGTGAACAATAGGGGGAGCTGCCGTGGCTTATCTGTGGAGGAAATGTATAAGTGTGGGCAGAGAAAGTGTCTATCTACATTTGTTTACGACTTCAAATGATAAGAGAAACACACATTTAACTCTTGGTATTAAATATCCTGCGGTTATATTAGCAAGCAGCTGTTAAGAAATTAATATAGCTCATTCTTAAATGCTTCATTTTATTTATTTATCGACTCGGTATAGGCATACCTCTAATAAGGATAAGAAAACAGATTAAATTTGTCCTCCGGGTATAATTATTATTATGTTTAGTTCAGCTGTAAACACAATGTAATGCATCTGTTAAGTAAATAATTAATTACAAACAAACTAGCTTTAGCCAAAGCGGAAAAATCGTATAACGAAT